TACCGGTCATGTCGTTTTGGAATCTCACATCAAAGGAGGCCGAGAGAAAAGGCTACATATGAAGGTTATCGAGACTTTGGCATTAAGATGGACCTACAAGAGTTTGACAGAGGTATGGAACCAGAAGAGTTTATTGATAGGCTATAATTGGTTGACAGATCTTCGAGTATAAAGATGTGTCAGATGATGAGCGTCAAATTAGCTACTATTAAGTTGAAGAAAAGTGTCTCCTTGCTGTGGGAGAACTTATAAAAACAGAAGAAAATAAAAAGAAACAATAAGATTATCAAATGAGAGAAGATGAAGTAAGCCATGCAGAAGAAATATCTTCCACCTCATTACCGCCAGGATATGTCTACAATCTACACCAGCAAGACTTTTTCGTGGAGGAGTTCACAGCTCAGTTCGACCACTTACATATGAAACACGAACTAACTGAGCTAGAAGAGCACATTGTATCCCATTACCTTGGACGTCAGAAACCCGCTATTAGCAATGCGATATAGCTACAACTATATTGCACACTAGGGGATGTTCAGATTCTAGCCTTCAAAGTCAAAAGAAAATAGAAGCAGAGCAAACAACAATCGTTCTTCAGGCAGAAACCTTCAATCAGGCAATCACCTACAACTACCACAACCGACAAGGGTACTTCGAGTGGAACTAGCAAGCCAGAACAAGGAAATGACAAGCTGGATCAGAGTGGGAAGAAGTAGAAGAAATGCAGCTCCTCCAATACCGTACTCACCAAGAAGTGTTTCAGATGTCACGGCTATGGCCACATAGCCTCCAACTGCCCCACGATTCGAGTCATCACAATCACAAATCAGAGCGTCATCGGGGAGGTAGACAAGGAGTCGGAGGATAGCCCTAAGAAGGAACTCCAGTTCCATGGCGACTAGGGAGAACCGCTAGTCATACCACATGTTTTGCAGTAAGAGCCACAACTAAATCAATCATGTTTGAGACATAGTATCTTTCGCACCAAGTGTGCATCATCAAAGGCAAGGTTTGCATTTTAATCATCGACTGTGGGAGTTGTGAGAATATGTTGTCCACGCTAAAGGTGATGAATTTAGGGTTTGACACGCAGAAGCATCCCCAGTCAAATTCTCTTACATGACTGAAAAGGGGAAATGAGATGTGTGGATCAATAGTACCTGGTCGAATTCTAGATTGGAGATCAGCTATAGGAGCAAGTCTAGTGCAAAGTGGTTCTGATGGACGCCTGCCACATTCTATTCGGTAAGCCTTGGCAATCCGACCGCAAGATTCGGTATGACGGCATCAAGAATACTTACGGATGAAAAACACATCATCCTGTTACCTGTTAAGGGTGCACAAGTCAGAGGCGATACAAACGAAGCATTAGTCCCTCGGGTCATCTTCCAGCAGTCAGTTCGAGATGCCGCAGTGGCACTAGCATTAGCCCTTCTAGAGGGAATAGAGGAGAAGAGTGAGGTATCAGCACTCTGTAGCCACTACTACAAGTCTTCCAAAATGTCATGACCGAAAATCTTCCGGAGGGGTTACCGCCACTAAGAGACATTCAAGATGCCATAGGCCTTATAACAACATTAGTATTGTCGAATCGGCCCGCCTTTAATTTGAGGCCTGTGGATTACAAGGAACTACAGCGACAGGTGCAATTTAAGTCTTGCAAGATTAGTGAATTAAATTCAGCTTGAATACTAATTTATTAAATATGTTTTTTATAACTAATTTTTTGGTTAGTTTAACTAATATTTAAATACCATTTAATTTAATATATGTTGATATACTTTTTCTTTTTAATTCTAAGGTCGTAATTTAAATTGATCTTTTTTATTTAATACATTATTGATTAAACTTAATTAGCTTACTTGGATTTTCTACAAACATATCTATTACTATCTCTTTAATTAATATGGTAATTTGATTTAGACTCCATTATTATAGTCATTTAATTTCATACAAAAAAAAACTCTTATCCCACTAATTGGGGTCGGCTACATGAATCCTTTTTCTCCATTGTGCCCTATTTAGTGTCATATTTTCATTTATTTCTAATAAATTTAGATCATTTTATATACAATATGCCCAAGTCTTCTTAGGTCTACCTCTGTCATTCTTAAAGTAGCAAAATAAAATTAATTTTACTAACTTCAATAATTTTTAGTAAGTTATTTTAAGCGGATTCAAGTAATACAACAATTTTATCTTTTGAAATATTTCAATTTTTTTTATTTTAACTTCTTAAATTTAAAAAGCTCTAATTAATTGTTAATTTTCTTTATTTCTTCGTTTTAAAGCATTCATTTTAAAAATTGATTATGGCTTGATCTCAGTCTATTAATGAAAATGAAGAAAAGAACATTAACAATGAGCAGCCAAGTTTTTTTTTTTAATAAAAAGAAAATTTCAGGATATTTACTAGTACGCTAAGTGTTAAAAAAATCTTAACTTTTCAATTTACCTGACATAGCCTAATAAGTTGATGCCAAATCAAACAGCTATCTTCAACGCCAATATCCCCCACAGAGCATCTATTCAATTGAAAGGAAAAGCCTTGTTACAACTTCAAACTAAGTAGATAAAGATTAGAAAAAATAAGCAATACTTACGCATTGTGCATACTATCAAGCTTTCTGTTTGTCCGAGGGTCAAAAAGTAGAGCCAGAGATTTCAAGAGAGGCATGCACCAGCAAGAAAAGAAAGTTGCTTTCTTAACAACTTTGTTGTCAAAATAAAAATTCCCATCAACGATGCATTCATCACTACATCGCTTGAGAGCTTTCACAAGAACTCTGACAGTAGTTATCTTCAATAACAATATCTGGCCAACGAAAAGTGCCAAAACATACTCCAACTATTAAATAAATAAACATAGGCACCAGTCAAATGTCGCATTAAAAAGGTTTATTATTTATCTAACCTTTGCATGTGGATGCTCTAACAAACTAGCAATGAAGTCAAGTGATCGATATATCTGAATAAAAAAGAAATAGATTTTTGGTGCACTATTCAATTTGTTGAAAAAAAACACAGTCAAAAGAAATAACCTTAAAAATATCAGCATCTGAGAGGCTCAATTCATTAATGGTCTGGTCAATCCAAGAAATTAAAGGCCTCAGTAGGACATCTGCACATTCAGGTCTTTGGAAAGCAACTCGAACTATGAAGACACGAAGCATGTCTTTTATGACCACTAATGTCTGCTTAGAAAGAATTAAAGTGAAAATATAGTTTATAAAATATATGTGGAACTCTGCATGAGAAAAGAACACGTACAGTGAAAGAAAAATGCAGGACAATCTGTGCAATCCTTTCAAGCAGAGGAGTCAACCGAACAAGCAGCACAGCAAGGTGCTCAGGTTGTAAGTACCAGTGGATATCTTTTTCCACTTCAGGTCCTAGAACTGTCTCTATGGTCAACATGCTAAGAACGCTCAACGGAGGTATTCCATAATTCCACAGCCAAATTCCTTCTTCAGGAAAAAGATCACTCTTTGCCAATAAAGAATAAGAGTCACATAAACAATTTAAGGAAATCATGACTGGCCATCTCTAAAAGTCGAAGAAAACTTAGTCAAAATATTTTTTTTTTCCGGAATTTGACATAAAGCCAAACAACAACCAAATATAAAATCGAAGAAAACTTAGTCAAAATATTTTTTTTTCCGGAATTTGACATAAAGCCAAACAACGGAAAGTTGGCCATCAGCCAGATAGAGAAGATATGTAAGCAGGAGTGTACATACCAGCAGACATATTATGCTACATGCATCCTTCGGGCCCATAGGTAATAACGATGAAGCTTGAATACTATCAAGAAGACAGTGGAATAAGCCAGGAATCCAACCAAATACTGGCCAAAAGGCAAGCACAGAGGCAACAAGATGACAAACAGCACCAAAACCAAGCCCAAGTTGGGGATAGTGCGAGGAGAAGCTTGTTGCATATGCTGCTAGCTTTGGGCTGAAAAAAGATTGTTCCATGTTAAAATTATGCAGCAATGAATGAGATTACATAAATAGGTAAATTTCACCTCACTTCATGATGCAAACGTAAAAGAATATTAACTAGCTTCTTATTCCGGTATTGCTCCTTTGTTTCCTACAGAAGTCATGATAATAAATTTAAAAATAAATTGTAGAAATATAGTAACTCTTTCAAATGATGAAACTGAAAAATCAAAAAATAAAATAAAATAAAATATAGTAAACCAACAGAAGTAAACACTCTTAAGTTCCCTTTTGGAGTTATATCTAAAGTTGTATTTTCATTTAACAAAAAAGTAATATCATAAAACTTACGACCAGTGAAATCTCACAGAACATTAAAAATTTAACCTTTTGCTATAGAACGTCTGCCACATATAGCTAAATTCATGCAGCATAATTTTTCTATTAAAGACTAAAGTAAAATAATGTGAATCGATAGTCCCTGTTATTGAGAAGTGCTCAATCCCAAGTTACAGAAGCACTTTCCTCGAGTTACCTCTTTTATGAATTTTTTAATACTTCTATGATGTGGCCTAGAGCTACCATTTTTAGAATTTTTTGATATCTTCATTCTAGTAAAATGCTCGACTTGCAATTGCACAAAATATATGTATTCTACATGTAAAGTGCTTTAGTCCTATGATTATTTACATGGAATCATTTTAGTCTCAAAGTTAATAAAAGTGCCAAATTAATTCCCGGACTACTTAAATTGGGCTGAAATAGTCCTTCATAGGGGCCATTTCATCCGATATTAAAAGTGTCTTGGGAATTGATACTTTTATAGACTCTAGGACTAAAATGACCCTATGAAAACAGTCATAGGATTATTTTGGCACTTTATGATCTACGGATTAATATATGCTTATTTTTGTAGCTGTTTCAAGTGAGTTTTCTTACTTCATTGAAATATTTGTTTCAAGTGAGTTTTCTTACTTCATTGGAAGACTTCTCTACAATTGGCATACTTCTTAAAGAGTTCAAAGTATTCACATCCCTCTTTCATTTAAATTAGTGTCATCATAAATCAGGCATTATATCAAGTGCTTGGGTAAGACAAGTTAAGATCATAATACCACATGAAAGTGAGGTGAAAGTGGCACGACTTCTTCAAATGCGGAAGATGAGTTAATATTTCAAGATAAGTTACTGATTCAAAAAGAATATTAAGAGCTGAAACAACAGGAAGTGTAGCAAAATAAAAAAAGAAAAAAAACTAGACAAAATGTACGTACAAGAGTGCTAGAGTAATAAATTTCAAGAACGAAGATGAAATAGATTTAGAGAAGAGGGAATGAGGGATAGAAACGTTGATACCCGAGTTAACCTCAAATCACAATAGAAATAAAATATCATTTCTAACATTCAAAAAGGTTACAACGAATACTCTTAAAAATAGGAAATAATGATAACAAACACAACACCTAGGTTGAAGACGCGGTGGTGACCATTGGCTGGACGGCGGTCAATTGGGTGCTTCAAGGTTGCAGTGGTAGAGAACAGAAGAAAGAGGAGTAACAGTGAGCTGGATGATGAGGGGAGGGCTGAGGCTGCCATTGGGAAGAAGGGGCTGATGTAGGGTGCAGCAACAATAGGAGAGCCTTTGTTGGATGGGAGGGAATTAAGTAACGGGAGAAAGGCCAAGGGCTATAGAAGAACAATTGTGGAAGGTTCTTCAGTGGGTGCAGCAAGGACGACCAAGTTCGCGGATGATGGGAAAATTGGGGATAATCAAAACCGCAAAGAGAGATACAGCCGCAACGCCACTCGTCTTTGGATACAGCCCTAAGAGGAAAAACGAAAGACGTCAACGGCTGTCTTGACAAAAACCTCGGCAAAAACTAACCCTAAACAAAGAAAAGAACATAATTACAATAGTAAATAACGAGGACTTGGGTGGCAAACCTAAAAACAAATATTTTTGTCGGTCGACCCCCTTGCCTCCCTCCCTGAACTGGTCCAACCATCCCAGTTAGACTAGCCGACAGTTTAGGAGAGCTCCGCATCAGTCTCCTAGGGTTGGGGAGCTTCGACTTTATTTGTCAAAACTTCTGATTGCACGTTCATCGTGATGGAGTTGCTGCAAGCTCCCAAGGCTGAAAGATCTTCTACCGCAGTCCGGGAAGCACCCAGATCCCACTGGTGGCTAACCGTCCCCGAAAGCACCCGAGTATTTTTCCCCACTTGCAAGCATATATCCAATCGATCCATACTCCTAGGGGTCCATTACATAGATGAATTGAGTCTGTGTGTCATGCGTATACAATTGAATCCTCCCAAAGTAATCAAAGGTTGGCTCAACCAGATCTGAAGTGAGGGAAACCTGAACCTCCTTAAATGATGGTGGTCATTGCGGTAAGGTATCGATTGTGATGTCCTGAAATGTTCTCTGACGTGATTATCTGATGTCTGGATTCAATGCCTCGGTCCTATCATCCTTTATCTTCACCAAAACTAGTCCCACCAAGGTTTTTTTGTTGACAAGGACACTGGTGATCTCAAACTCCACCAAAGGAAGAAGGACGATGTGGTTCCCCTCCTTAATGAAGGAGTATGTGTTTCTAAATTAATCGTGCTGAGTCCTAAAAAAATTGTAAAATTGTCACGGTCTCTCCAATAAAAGGTGGCAAACATCCATGAGTATCACATCGCACCGCACCCTATCTTACAGTAGTCTCCCAATCGAGACATCTTGCAATGAAAGTACTCTCTCACCTCAAGGTTTTGTTCTTTTGGAGCAAGAATAAAATCAGAAGCTTGGGGAATCTTAAAGCTCAACTTGAAGAGGAGATTGTTGCACTCCAACTTAATGAAATTATGGAGCAGTGTTTGAATAGTGATATTTGGACTAACATGAAGAGTAAGGTTCATGAGCTCAACGCCATGCTTGCCCATGTCATAGCCTGGTGGAAACAAATAGCGAATAATAGATTTTTAACCGATGGGGACCTGAACGCTAACAATTTCAATGCTATGGCTTCGGCCTGACACAGATCCAATCGAATTTCCAGCATTGTGGATGCTAATGGTGATAATAAAAATGAGAATGCTAATATTGTTGAAGCTTTTAAGTAATTTTTTCATTCCAATAGAAGTGTAATGCCCCTTCAAAAATTGGTCAAATTTGGATAGCTTCCCACCTAAAATTATCGTATAATGATACGCTTATTGAGGAGGTGACGGACGAGGAAATATGAACTACAATTCGCACTATGGGCTGAAACCAATCCCCTGGTATTGACGGGGTCACTACATCTTTTTTTAAATGTTATGGGTGATTGCTAATAAAAAAGTTATTAAAGCGGTGAAAAGTTTTTTTTGTTTCCGGGTCCATTCCGGGTTATTGTAAAAAACTCTCGTCGTTTTGATCCCCAAAACGAGTAATGTCATCTCTCATGCACATTTTCGGCCAATAAGCCTTTGCCAAACAATTTACAAAATCTCCGCCAAGATTATTGTTAATAGACTCAAGGGAATTCTTCTGTCTATCATTTCTGATGAGCAAGTTGCATGCGTTCTCGGTAGATCAATCTCCCCATATTGTTTGCCTGTCCAAAAGATTATCAGCAAATTCAAGCACGCCACAGTCACCTCAAGGCTTATGGCACTTAAAATTGGTATGGAATACATGACAAAATGACTTGGTCATTCCTTGGGGAGGTTATGAAGATTATCGGATTTTATGACATGTTCATTAATTTGATGATGCAGTGTGTTTGTCGACCCAAATATCTCTTGATCAATGGGCAGTGTTCGGCCTGGATACAATAGAGGTGCCCACTTTCCTCGTACTTGTTTAATCTCTGCTCGACTCTCGTTGGCACTTTCGCAACGTGCAAGTAATATCAAGATCCAACTCTCTAGGGATGACCCGAGACTCACATCTCCTTTATACCAATGATGTGCTCCTTTTCATGAACCCGACTACCAAACTAATTGCTAAAATCACTGGAAATTATTGTGAGTGAACTGGTTAGGGTATAAACAAAGACAAGTATATGATTTTTTTCAACAAATGTACTGCAAACTGAAGAAATGGAAGCTAGCTAGAATGCTTCAACTTTGGAAAGTGGATGAGATCATCTACATGGGTATAATGTGTGCTCAAAGGAAGCATATCAAGTCTGATTATATCAAGTTCCTCACTAATGCAGCCAGAAAATTAATCCTTGGGGCATTCATCATCTCTCTCTTGTCGGGCGGATTACACTTCTTAGAAGTGCTTATCTTATTCCTCCCATGTATCTCATTATGCATTACTAACCTCCCTAAGGGTGTTTCCTTGGAGCACAAAAAACACGGCAGAAACTTTAGGTGAAAGAACGTGCTCAAAAAAAATTACACTACATTTCTTGGAGGGACATTTGCAAGCCAATTAAGCTCTAGGGACTTGGATTTCATGGTACTAAGGGGTGGAAAAGACCTCTCCGGGCCAAACTCGCCTGGTACTTCATTTCACAAACTGACTTGGCCTACAAATATGGGCGTAATGTGTAGACTTTCGACAACCAAAGGAGTGACTCCCTTTCTTGGAACATTATCTACAATGGGGTTGTTAGCCTAAATAGCATTATTCATTGAAAGGGGGTGGATGGGAGACATTAATGTTTTATCACAAGCTTGGGTTTGGGATGGCATTCTTTGACAGTTGGTCTTCTTTTGTGAATTCTTCCAGTTGTGAAAACCTTTAGATTGCCAACCTTCTTTGTGATAAAGAAATTTTGTGAAATCTGTATGAGGATGAACTATGCAATATTATTCTCGGAATACCCATTCTTCAGAACCAGCCACGGGACATGCCAGAATAGAGATTTCAGCTTTAGAAAATCTATAACTGCTATGGTTTTTTACGCTAGGTTCAATTAGCTTGATGAAACCCACGCATGGCTCGATAATCTTAAACTCAGGCCTAGAGAGAAGATATTCTGGTGCCGCTTAAGCCATGATGTCGTTCCTACCAACAAGTGGCTTGATTGCAGAGTACTTTCTGAATCCCTTCAATGCCCTTGGGGATGCCCAAGAGTGGAGAAGAAAATGCATATTACTACAAACCGTTCGTTTTTCGGTGCAGTTTTAGAAAAGCTTCGACTTTAGGGATTTCCCACACCTACC